AAATAAATAAATAAAAAGGCAAATGGCATGAACCAGCAAATATATATATATACAGCTTCTTACAACCAAAGCAAAACAAGTTTTAAACTATAAAATGAAACAACACAAATACTCCTTTTAAATTTTTCTTATATTAAATCCTGCAATTTTACATTTCACAATAGCAGCAGAACCTGAAAATCATTTTTGTGAAACACAGCATGGACTCTTCTCCTGTGCTGTGTGCCCTGCAGTGTTTCTTCACTATACACATATATACATGTCACAGTGTAATTTCACTTTTACATTTATTGTGTTTTTAAAGTAAAGTTAAGATATAAGATTATGTTGGCAAAAGAGAGAAATATTCTGTGTAATAAGTTGGCTACCACTAGCTCCCAACTGCTGTGACCTTTGTCTGGCTCTCTGTCTAGTTTCTTTCATGTGACCCTTGGCAAATAGACATTGAAAATTCCAGCAAGTTATTTTAGAAGCATCCACTCACCATAGAGTCTTTCAAGATGTGCAGGCTGCTTTTTGTATTCTTCTTGCAAGTGATCAGCCTCTTCAAGAATACACCGATATTCTGGAATCAGAAAGTTTGCATTTCCCTCATGAACCTGCAATTCCTTATAAAAATTAAAAACACAGTAGTGTCTTAATAAAAATTCAATCTAGTATAACACTGAAATACTTATGATTTTATAAATCCCAGTGCTTACAATAATTATTGTGATTCCATGACACATATACTTACTTTTAAGGCATCAATTAACTGCACTTTCTTAGCCAGAAGCAACTGATACTCCAGCTTCGGGTGGATAAGCTTTAGAGTATGTTTAACGGATACTTCGTTTATCTCTAGAAGAAGGTGGTCAGGCACAATGAGGTAAGTCAGTGTCATCAGATACATTGCTATTATAACAACAACTGTAAAAAATCAGAATGAATCAATGATTTTTTTTACCATATGATATGTTGAGATTAATTTTCCTTTTTGTAGCTTCTTTAGAAAGTACATCTTTTAGGATGGATATTGTAGAAATGTTGTCAGATTTAAAAATTCCTTCTCCTTTCCTATAAAATCAATATATTTTAAAAGAAAAACTGTAGAAGGAAGTGGTCCCATAAATACATATTTTTGACTAGTATTTAGATTTCATTTGATTTTAGATTAATAGTTAGATTTTAGATTTAGTATAAAGCTTATTTAAACATGTAACCAGTCCTTGACCATACCAATCCACCTTCTGAATTCATAAAACTAAAGATCCTACTAGATGCATGCCTCTTAAGATGTGAGAATTTTTATGTACTTCATTTAAAACTTTTTTATCCATTGACATTAATATTTCCAATAGCTAACCTCATCTATAAGATGCATTTAGAACTGCTTATTTGCATATGTAGGTAAGTATGATTTGCTTTGACATAATTGCACAATTATGACTATTTGCTTCATCCTTAAAAGAAATCTGATATCACTTTCAGCAAAATGGCAGGTTACAAAATAAGTTTTAAAAAATCAGTAGCCTTTCTATCCAACAACAAGCAATTGGGGAAAGCATTCATGGAAACCCTTCTATTCACAATAGCCTCAAAAAATATCTAGGAATTTGAGCCGGGAGTGGTGGCACATGCCTTTAATCCCAGCACTTGGGAAGTGAAGGCAGGCAGATCTTTCTGAGTTCAAGACCAGCCTGGTCTACATAGTGAGTTCTAGGCCAGCTGAGGCTACAGGGTACTAACAAAAGACATTAAAAATATCTACAAGAAAATTTTAAATCTTTGAAGAAAGTGACTAAAGAAAACACAAGGAAATGGAAAGACCTCCCATACTCATATAGAATTAACATTGTGAAAATGACCATCCTACTAAAAGCAATCTATAGTTTCAATGTAATGCTAATGCTAATCAAAATCCCCTTGACAGAACTAGAAAAAAAAAACTTAAAATTAATATGGAATCACAAAAGACCCTGAATAGCCAAAGCAATCTTGAGTACAAAGAACAATGCTGGGGGTGGGGGTCACCATACCAAATTTCAAACTACATTACAGGGTTATAGTAATAAAAACAGCATGGTACTAGCACAAAAACAGACACGTAGATCAAAGGAACATAATAGAAGACCCAAACATGACTTCATGCAATTTCAGCCTCCTGATATTTGACAAAGGTGCCGGCACAAGGAGGAAAGACAGCATTCTCAAAAAATGGTGCTGCCAAAACTAGACCTGCACCTGTAGAAGAATGAAGTTAGACCCTTATCTTTGACCCTGCACAAAAGCAGACTCCAAATGGATCAAAGACCTCAATGTGAAACCTGAAACTTGGAAACTTTCAGAAGAAAACATAGGTAGTACCCTTCAAGACATAAGTGTAGGAAAGTACTTTCTAAATTGGACATCAGTTGCTCAGGAATTAAGGTCAACAATTCAAAGTGGGACCTCATTAAACTAAAAAGCTTCTGTACAGCAGAAGAGGAAACCCAGAGAATGGGAGAAAATCGATACCAGCTACTCATCTGGCAGAGGATTAATATCCAGAATCTCAAAGAACTCAAAAATCAAATAAGAAAACAAATGACCCAATAAAAAGATGGGCTAAGGACCTGAACAGACAGTTATCAAATGAGGGGGGGAAATGGCTAAGAAACACCTTAAAAAGTGTTTATCCTTAGTAATTAGTAATATCCTTAGTAATTAGTAATATCCTTAGTAATTAGGGAAATGCAAATCAAAACCACTTTAAGATTTCATCTTACCCCAGTTAGACTGGCTAAGATCAACAGAACAAATGATACCAAATGCTGGTGAGGATGTGGGGAAAGGGGAATGCAACATTCACTTGTGGTGGGATTGCAGACTCATACAACCACTACGGAAAGCAGTGTAGAGAACTCTTATGGGACTGAGGGGAAGAAGAAGGCCAGACTATGATGGAAGTGTAGATTGTAGAGATGGCTCAGTGGTTAAAAGCACTGGCTGCTCTTGCAGAGGACCTGAGTTCAGTTCCTAGCACCCACATGGTGGCTAACAATCATCCATAACTCCAGTTCCAGGGGATTTGACGCCTTCTTCTGACTTCTGTGGGTAATGCATGTCAAGGGTGCACTTACATACATGCAGACAATATACTCATTAAATAAAAATAAATATTTTTTAAAAATAAAAAAATACAAATGAATCTACCATATGATCTGATTATACCACTCCTTGGTATATACCCCAAAAACTCATCCTACTGTAGAGATACTTGTACATCCATTTTTTTATTGCTGTTCTTCTCACAATTACTAAGAAAAGGAAACAACCTAATGTCCCTCAGCAGACAAATGGATGAAAATGTGGTACATGCAGACAATGGAATTCTACTGAGTAGTAAAGAAAGAGGAAATCAGGAAATTTGCAGGTAAATGGATGGAACTAGAAACTGTTATACTAAGTGAAGCAACAGATTCAGAAAAACAAGGGACATATGTTTGCTCTCATTTGTATTATCAAGGTAAAATCAAGGTACTTTAATTCGGGGGAGAGAGGAGAGATAAATAAAGTTTAGGTGGCATAAAAAACCAGAGGGAAATGTTTTGGCTCAAAAACCCACTGAACAATACATATACAGTATCTGAGTATGAGTGCATGTATGTACCGGCAGGCTATATAACAACACACACAGTGCCAGGCAAGGAAACCTCCCTTCAAGGAGAGGCCATCATAGTCTGACCTACCTCCCTTCAAGTCATTGGTCAGGGTAGTCTAAAAGATCTCAGAATAACACATTTTACTTCCATAGCCCTTAATTACCTCCCAGAACTTGTACTTAAGACCCTATTGCTGAAGACAGGACATAGGACTTAGAGCAATGGAGCTGAACAGATCTGGAAGCCTCCTGCCTAAAGACTAGCTCTCATTGTTGTAGAGGATATTATGCAAGCTGCTAATGGAGAAAAATCAACCAATGGTCCAACCCCAACCTTAAAATATAATAACTACAACAATGATAGGCACAACAACTATAGTGGTACAGTAGTGGCACTTTTATCTTGGGGATAACCAACAGCCATCTAACTGGACTTAAAGACCACTCAATAGAAGGGAACTCATGTGTGGTACTGTAAACACAGCTAAATACACATGGCTGAAAAGGTTATAGATACTAGAGAAAACCGTAACTCTGTCACATCCCTAGACAAATGTAATTTCTTACTGTATGCTAAATATGGATCCTTATATTTACAGACAAATATATCATTCGCCATTCATCAAAAAAAGTTTCTTTTTGTAACATATGGAGATTATTAGAGTTCCACAACTGGTCACTCTCTGTTGATACACCTAGAAGGAAACTCCATACCTAAGGCTTATGGAACAGTGGAATAGGGGGACAGACAGAATACTAATGCAACTGTCAACTCTCACCAGGGAAGCTTCCTCATGCAACAGAGGGAGATTCATACAGAAGGCCACACCTGGTCAAAGTGTAAAGAATAAGAGACTGCAGAGTGAGTGTCCCAGGATAGGACTCCCATATTAAACCTCACCCGCCCAAGGCTCAGGGACTATTGCAGAAGAGCCAGAGTTGCTGCATGATTATAAGGAAACAAGAATCTTCCAGGCCTCCGGGAACTTGCTCATATGAACTTATAGCAGTGGTGACAGCATGAATAAGACCCATAAAAACTCAATCAGCATAGAACTAGGGAAACGGGCAGGAGGCCCCAACCTTAGCTGATGAACCACTGGCAGCTGATTACTGCTGAGTGAGGGAAAGTTGATCTTCATTAAGGGAGTGACTCTAGATTGGCTGACTAGACTCCAACAGATGAATTTGCACCAAGGGACATCTGGGCATACAAACTTGACAGAATGCATGAAATCTGGTAGAGAGGGAGAGAGGGAGTCTAAATCTTATTAAGTCATAATGTATGAAATGCACAAAAATTCAGTAAAAAATACACACTGAAAAAAAAAAAAGGAAATCTGATATCCAACCTGAAGCAGGGACATCTATTGTCTTGGGGGATTGGCATCCACTGCCACTACTTACAGTCACTGCATCCTTATTTTAATTTAAGAAACTCTTCTTCCCATGCCAGGAGAAATGGAGCATACTGGTAATCCGAATCAGTTCAAGGTCACATTCCACATACAGTAAGTTCAAGACCAGCCTGGGCTATAGAAGACCCTGTCTTAAACAACCAAATGAAAAAAGAAACCCAAAGCTGGGCATGGTGGCACACACCTTTAATCCCAATTCTCGGGAGGCAGGTGAATCTCTGTGAGTTCGAGGCCAGCCTGGTCTACAAAACGAATTCCAGGATAGCTGGGGCTATGGGGAGACCCTGTCTCAAAAACAAACAAACAAACAAAAAACAGAAAAAAGAAACCCAGCTTCTCTCCCATCTCTCATCAGGTTGTGCCTGATACAAGTAAATGCTAAACCTTTACATTACTTGAACTGAAAAATTCCTTTTATTTGGATGATGCTATTTGGATTTGGCTTCTCTTTATAATTACCTAAAAATTTCCTAATTAATACATGCGATCTTTCATGTATTCCATGTTGCCTATCATTAATTTTCACGTGAACACCATTTTATATTGACTGGCTTTGTGCAAATGCTAATTGCTTTTTCTAAAAAGATTAATGATACAACTGTACTATTTTTATGCAAGCTATGCTTTAGAAATCATGACATTTCCACTAGCTTTTCTTTTCTTTTTGTAATACTGGGAACTGAACCTAGGACCTTCCACATGCTAAGCAAGTACCCTACCATTCAGCTATATCAGTAGCTTTTTTTTTTTTTTTTTAAAGCATCGTTCCATATTTACTGATTTCATGCTGCACACAGATCTGTAAAAGTTACAGTCTTGGGGTATGGAGAAGGGCATCATCAACACAGAATTATAAAACGATTTCAAATACACACTGGCAATGAGACCAAAACAGGAATGCATCAAATTTCTTATAGGCACCTTGCCCTTATAAGGGAGGCAAAGGAGACTTGCCTGCCTAAATAATGCCATAGCTATGTGTATAGTATAAACTGAGACACGGAGGTGAATTAGGAATGATTGGTATAATGAAGACTGAATGTGGGGCCCAGTGCCCCAAAGAAATGTTGAGTCTGAAGGCCTGAGTAAGGCCAACGAAGCTGGGATGGAGGGGACAAAGGAGAATAACATGGGGAGCTATATGTATATGTAGAGGGCCCTTGAAAGATGAGGCCAACATGGTCCAACAATAACAGGTTTTACAGCACTGTAGGGGTAAGGCTTGCTTTCTTTTTCTATAATTTTTCTGTCTATTCCTGACCTCAAATATACTGCTGCTTACAGGCCTCTGTCTGAGGTGTTACTTTGCATGGTAATCAGTGTCAGGATAATTTATATATATTTATATATTGATTTCAATAATCTTTTTAGGTTTGTTTTTTTGTATTTAGAGTAGAGTTAAAATCTACTTAGGGAGCTGATTACAAATTGCATTTATTATAGTATCAGCAGTCTCCTAAAAAGAAACTATATTAAAAGCATAAAATATTATTAATATTTCACATGGTCCTTGGACATGGCATGGAGGGCCTGGAGTTTAGGAGGTGGAGATCTGAAGTATGGGGCTGGAAACTAAACTGACCAGGTTAGTCATCAAAAGCTTCTTCACTCTATGAGGCAACTCACTAAACCCACTAGTTATTCTATTTTTTTTTAACTTTTAAAAAAATTATTGAGAATTTCATACATGCATATAATGTGTTTTGATCAAATCCACACATGCATAATAATGTGTTTTGATCAAATCTACGCCCACTCCCTCCCTTCCAACTCCTCCCATATCTCCCCATGACTTTTTTCTGACAACTTCATGTACGCTTTCTTTTTAGGGGGGGGACTTTTTTTTGCTACTCTAACATTCTCCCCTCTGAAGAGGTAACCGTAAAATCTTTTAGGAATTACACAAAAGCTTCCAAATACTTTTGACATTTTTAGCCTTTGGAAGAGAGTATATTGCTGAGGCCCAAGGACATTGTGAGTTTTAGCCAAGAAACTGGCTACTTTTCTTGGGGGTCTTTTTACCCTAACTGCCTAGCCAGTTCCTACCTCCTATTCTTATCACATCATCCTCTGAAGAGGTTACCTAAATTGCCAATAGGGAATCGGGACACAGACCGCTCTGGCTTCTTCCATGCTGAACAGGGATGCAGGGTGAGGCAATTGGAGTACCCCTTCAAGTAGGTCTATCTAAAAGACTCCCAAATTGCATAACTCTTATCTTAAGGAGGAAAAGAAAGTCTTTGAATCCTGAATAGGAGATGTGAAGGAGAAGTAAAGGCAAGAGTAATTAGCATTACAAGTTCTAGACAGGGAACTAGAAAAAAGTCAGAACAGGGCAATTTTCAAATGTTCATATGAGAGTCCACTGGAATTTCTTTGACTTCCAAAAGCATCCCTCTGATGGGTTCCTCTTCGTTTTTCTTTTGTCTTCCAAGGCTACAAAGTCCACTGGAATCTTTTTAACTTCTTATTTTGAGACAAGGGCCCAGGTTCACCTTGAATTTACTTTGTATTCCTGGTGGGCCTTGAACTTTTGATCCTTCTTCCTCAGGCTCGCCAATAACTGGGATTACAGGCATAAGCCACCATGTCTGGCTTAGCCTTTCCTCTTAATGGATGACATGAAGTAAGCACACAATGCCAAGTAATGCAGAATGATTTGTATCATCAATCTTTTTTTTCATTCTTTACAACAATTCAATGAAATAAATGCTATTATTTCTATTCCTCAGGGAAAAAAATAATCTAACATTCATAGAGTTAAACCAGTTGAGTGCCCAGAGGCAAGATTCAAACCTAACTACAGCTGTCTGCAAACATACACATCTGTACTGCCTCTAAATATATGTATCTCATTCAAGACCTTAGAAAACACTTATGAGCACCCACTAGGGGCAAATACATGCATTAGGTATTTGGAGGATATATACCAAGCCAATTATAAACAGATTCTGAGGGCTGGAGAGATAGCTTAGCAGTTGAGAGCACTGGCTGCTCTTCTAGAGGTTCAGTTCCCAGCACTAACATCGCCGCTAATAACTGTCTGTAATTCCAGTTCCAGGGAATCCAACACTCTTTTCTGGCCTCTGTGGGCATTGTACACACAGGTACACTTACATACATGCAAATGAAACACTCATACACATAACATACAAATATTTAAAAACTACAGATTCTGAGTCAGGTATGGTGGCACATGCCTATTAATCTCAGTACTCAGGAGAGGCTAGGGCTGGGGGATAGTTGGATCAAGGCCAGCTTGGGCTATATAGTTAGTTCTAGGCCAATCTGAACTATATAGCAAAACTCTGTCAAAAAAAGGAAAAGAAAGAAGCAAGCAAGCAAGGGAAAACATCAACAACAATGACAACAAAAATAGTTTGAGGACAGAGAAAGTCAAGCTTCAGAAAAGTAGCTATTAAGTTGGGCCTTGAAAGAAAGAATACTTAGCCACCAAATGGAAAAGAGGAAAACTATGCTGTTATAAAAATGTGCACTATGCTGTGGCCATGTTGAATAGTCAGATGAGAGTCCTGTGGTGATTCACTATGGAAAAAATCAGTACAATGTAGGCACAGATAAGCTTCCTGGAGCATACGTCAGTGAAACAACTCCACAGAACCCAGCTGAACCTAATTAGACTTCTGACGAGTTCCTGGTCACTGCATTCTGGGGTAAAATGTTTTTCTGCTATTTCTAGAATGTAGTGTAGAAAGCCTAAAGTGAAGCTTAAGTACAGTGTGCCAATCATCTGCTTAAGAAAAGAATCCCTAGATAGAGACAGACAGTAAGGACCTGCCACTAACAAAACAAAGCAAGACATACTGGAGATGTGAGCAAGACTGAGAATGCAAGACCTTCAAGAACAAGACAGTCCAAGCTCAAAGAACAGATAGAGAGAAAATAGCTTTATTCAAGTGAGAGGCCATTCTACACCCAGAGACAGGAAAAGGGAAAGGTGGAAAAAGTCCGGCCTATATCAAATGGAGAAAAGAACTGGCTAGGGATATAGGTCGGTGGTAGAGTGCTTGCCTAGCATACAGGAGGCCCTAGTTTACATACCCAGGACTGGAAATTAAGCAATCAAACCAACAGCAGCAAAAAGCATGCTGAGAGACTAGGTGCTGGTGGGAAACAAGTGAGAAGTGCCGGGTGCAGGGGGTAAACTGAAATTAGGAGTGTGAGATGAGACAGAAGAATGCAAGGACCTCCACCCTGGAACGCAATAGCTTCCAAGAGCATGCATGTTCTAAGTCTTGAATATTTTTGCATGAAGAAGTTCAAGTGAGAGTTGTATTCAAATCAATATGGGAAGGGCCGCCCTTTACATTATCTTCATATCGATGACTATAACTCTTGAAAGAATTATTTTTCAAAAACATGAAAATGTTTTCAACAAAATCATAGCAGAAAACTTCCCTGTTAGACAAAGAAATCCCTCTGTAGAAACAAGAGGCATTTAGAGTACCAAACAAGCAGACCAAAGAGAACTTTCCTTCACCATATTATAGTTAAACTGTTAAATATTCAGAACAACAACAAAAACACTGAAGGAGGTAAGAGAGATACATATAAAGGGAGGCCATTAATAACAGCAGATTTTTCAAGAGAAACTTTAAGAGCAAAGAAAGTTTGGAATTTTCAGTGTTTTTCAAGTTTTGAAAGATAACAACTACCAACCCAGACTACTATTCACAACAAAGCTATCAATCATAATTGAAGGAGAAAGGAAAACGTTCCATTCTTAAAACAGGTTTAAGCAATTCATGTCCATTAAGCCCACTCACTGAAGAAACATGAAGAAATTCTTCTGACTGATAAAAATCACAAAGATATCTACTGGGGCCACAGGGAAGAATCAATCACTTTTGAATAATAGTTAAGCAGGAGAGAATTGGAAAACATCAAAATACTACAAAATCAATAAAAGAACAGAAAATAATGCACACTTTTCAATAATAAATCTAAACATTAATGGTCTCAATCCCCCTAGTCACCAGACACAGACTATCAAAATGGATTAAAGGTCAGGACCCATCTTCTCGTCTCTGAAAAACATACCTCACTGTGAAAGATAGATGCAACTTTAGAGTGAAAGGATAAAAGGGAAAAATTTATTCCAAGCAAACGAAACAAGGAAACAAGCAAGTGTTGCTATTTTGATATCTAACAAAATAGATTTTAAACCAAAACTAGTCTGAAAAGATAACTCACTTTATACTGATTAAGGGACAGTCTATCAAGAGAATATTATAGTTCTAAACATACATGCGCCCAATATGGGTGCACTTAATTTTATAAAACAAATACTAATAGAGGTAAAGTCACAGACTAGCTCCATCATTACAGTGGGTGACTTCAAATGCAGATCATCTGGGCAAAAAATAGAGAGCAGGTTAATTAAATGGCATCATAATTGGGCTTAACAGACATCTACAGAACATTCTACCTAAAAATTGAAGAAAATTCTACATACTTATTTTTAATTAACTATTTTTATGTGTATTCTTATGTTTTTATTCATCACATGCCCACAGGAGCCCTTGGAGGCTGGAAGAAGGCACCAGACTCCTTGGGACTAGAGTTACAGATGGTGATGAGAACCGAACCTGGGTCCTCTGCAGCAAGTGCTCTTAACCACTGACCCATCTCTTCAGTCCCCCATTAAAAAAAAAAAAAAAACTTAATTCTAAACATTTCTAAATAAAATATTACTACAGATTTTACATTGACAGTATATTATTGGAAAAGTATTAGTCTTTGCATAATCATCTTTACTAATACCCTTTCTACCCTCATGAATTCTATTTGTTTAAGAGCTTCTGTTGAGCAGTATAGGTTTTCAATCATGTGATTTGGAAATTATTCCTGTCTTAAATGAAAACATAGATGTTCTCTCTATGACGATTTGTTATCAAGTAATAAATTTGATTTACCTGTATATACACTCAAGTTGTGTATCCAGAAAGGTGTTTTGAAAGTAAAATGTTGCACATTCTCCTGCTGGAGGCTTTTCAGGAACTTCAGGCAGGCAAAACACCACCCAGGAGTGAACTTCAGCAAAACTGAACTGGCCTGTTAGAGTCAATGTATTCATGGGTCTGCAATTTAATAGTAGAGGCACATTTGAGTGTAGAACCACGAAAGTATTATGCATGTAAATTTATAAGCAGAATTTCAAATACAGCTAAACAGGATGTTATTAACTTTTAAAATTTTAGATATGGTGTCCCTATGTAGCCCAGGAATTCACTATGTACCCCTGGCTGGCCTTAAATACATATCAATCTTCGTGCCTCAGTGTTCCAAGTGCTGGGATTACAAATATGAGCCATCGTGCTCGGTTTTCAACAAATACTTAAGAAGTTTTCTGAAATTAATCATACACATCAAACAATTTAACATTTTAATTTTATGACAAAAAAGTATCTACACCTTTTCTTGTGCTAAGTGACACAAATAGCTTTTATTTCATTATAATATGCTTTCTAAATAAAATCGAATTTATTTAGGTAGATTTTATTGTTTCAAAGTCCTCTAGTATTTCTAGTTACATGAATCACCTTAGGGAAAGAATCAACATATTGTAAAGCTGAACATTAGGCTTTAAGTTAAGAAAGACAGATTTGAATCCTTGCTCTTTTATTTACAAGCTATGTCCCAGTGGCTAGTTAGAAAATAGTACCTTCTATTTTGCATGGATCTAGTTTAACACTTTCTAAAAAGTATAATAAAGAGAGGAAAAATCGAAAAATAAATCAAGGCCAGGAGAGGTAGCCCACATAGGTAATCCCAGCACTCAGGAGCCTGAGGCAGGAAGATTGTGAGCTCAAGGCCAGCTGTATACCTACTGAGTGGGACTCTGTCTTAGAAACTATAAGCCAGGCGTGGCAGCACATGCCTTTGATCCCAGCGTTCAAGAGGCAGAAACAGGTGGATCTTTGTGAGATAAGAGGCCAGCTTGGTCTACATAGTTAGTTCCAGGTCAACCAGGGCTACAAGGAGACTCTGTCTCAAAAAACAAACAACCAAAAAAACATATAATTATCAATCAATCACCAACCAAATAAGTTTAAAATAAAACAAATGGGTTCAGGCATGGTGGTGTACACCTTTAATCCCAGTACTTGGGAGGTAGAAGCAAATGGCTCTCTGTGAGTTCAAGGCTAGCTTGGTCTACATAGGGAGTTCCATGTTAGCCATAGCTACATAGTGAAACCTTGTCTCAATTTAATAAAATAAAATATAAAATAAAAGGGTAATTATGAGGAGTTGAGAAAATGCAACACATGTAAGAAGGAAAAGTTCACAAGGAACTTTAATAGGATAAAGAATTAAAGAATTTAGTTATTGAAATGCTAGAAGAAACTTTTGAAATCTTTCAGAGCAGTCTTCTCATTTGCAGATAAAACCCCCAAATCCAGAGAAATTAAATAATAAATCACATAGGAACATAATAATAATCCAAGTCTCTGATTCCCAGTATTTACTGTTTCTTCTAGCACCACCATGCTCCTCCATAAATGCTAACCTGAACAAAAAATACACCAGAAAGATTCTATCTCTCAGTCAGGCCTTGTGGCAACACCTATAATTCCAGCTATTTGAGAGACTAAGACAGGAAGATTGTAGCAAGTTCAAGGTCTCAAAAGATAAAAAGAAAGTGACTCAGTAATAGATTGTCTACCATATAGGAGGCCCTAAGTTCAATCTAAAACAAAACTAAACAAATAATAAACAAAAAAGAATTGAAGGAATTAGATTCTCTTTTTCTACCCCCCACCCCCATTTTTTTGAGACAGGGCCTTACTATAAAGTCCAGCTGGCCTGGAACTCATTATGCAGACCAAGCTGACCTTGAATTCACAGAGATCCATCTGCCTCTGACTGCAGAGTGCTGGGATTAAAGGTATGGGCCACCGTGCCCAGCTGGAATTGATTCTCTTTAATGTTTTCCAGAAATTTTCCTGCTCAAATCTTTTTCAAATTATGTATCCTTTAACTTGCAAAATGCATTAGAAAGAACATGAGCGTTGTCCTCAAATCACAGCTCTGGTACTTTTATCAAAAAGGCTTACTTTTTCCAAGTCTTTATTTCTCATTTGCAAAATAGAGATATAACTTGTCTTGCTTTTAGAATTAAGTGATCAGGGCTGGAGAGATGGCTCAGTGGTTAAGAGCACTGCGCTTGCAGAAATATCAGAAACTCATAATCTACCAGTATTCTCTGTGGTATGACAGAATGGAAATATGATGTTGAGGCCAATGCATGAAGCCTGTTCACAAGGAGCCATCGAGCTGTCTAAATGCTAAGCACTGTTTGCTCATAAATAAGTGTTTAAGGATGCTGCGACTCCAGTGATGGTAACAGATGACAGGGAAGTCCAAATTAACGCAGCTTCCAAAATAAGACAATCTTGTATTTATTAGAAATTTTAAACCCACTACTAATTATTACATCTGTAAGATACTTAATTTTCTTTTTTAATGTAGAAACAGCTACTGTGGTTTTACTATAAAAAATAAAAGCAGGCTTGTCTGAATAACGTAGTAACTTAAAAATAAACCACTCTCTCCCATGTTCTACCTGTCGTTATCAATGAAGTGACTCCTTTGATGGAGTGAAAGAGGTTTGATGTGGTACTGGCGGACCTGACAGGTTTTTGGTTGAATTCTGGGAGTCACATATGCCTGAAGTGTGCCGTATTGGCCTTCAATTGAGCGAATCTGAGGGAACATAAAAGAAAAAAGGATATAAGAATAACTAGCATCATAAATATATTTTTAAATATTTAACTAGTCAAATACTTATGTCTTAATTTCTCCTATACTATTCTGAGGGGTACAATGACATCTATGAAACACTATTTGCAACTAGAGTATAGCAAAGCTTAAAATGACTGACAGTTGGCCAGACATGGTGATGCAGGCTTTTAATCCAACATTTTGGAGGCAGAGGCAGGCGGATCTCTGTGATGGTCTACATAATGAGTTCCGGGCCAGGTGGGGCTATAGGGAGACAAAACAAAACAAAACAAAAGAAATGGTTGATAGTCTATAACAAAATTAATTACTCTCTAAGTGATCCCTACTGTATATTTCCAGGTGATTTGTCTGTATTTACCAGTCTTCTGCCATTCCAAGATAAAACATTCATTCTGAAATACTACCCTGTGTATCTCAAAAGATGGGTGCATAATACATTTTAAGATTCGCAAGAAAAATTTGACAGAATCTAGACATTTTGCTAAATAGAAAAATGAAATTTTGAAATACCTAAAACTTCATTTTCTCAGAATTGGTGATAATGCCATAGTAGTTGTTATAAAATTAGTCACAGAAATAAACATTTTCAAGAAACTAATTCCTGACTGCTGGATCTGGTAAGAATTCAAAACACTAAATGTGTGTGTGTGTGTGTGTGTGTGTGTGTGTATTTATCTTCATTTTGTGAATCCCCTCCATGCCAACAGGCATTGTAATAGTTTGAATATGAAATGTCCCCCACAAGTTCAAGTACTGGGGCCTTTGAGGAAGTGATTAGATCCTAAGGGTTGTGATATAATCAACAGATTAATCCCTTGGTGGATTCCTTACTAGCAAGTGGTGAAAATTTTTGGAGCTGGGGCCTCATTAAAGGCAGTGCCTCACTTGGGGTGTGTCTCTGGGGATACATCCTGTCCTAGCTGGCTGTCTGCTGGTTGCTGTGCTTCCTGGCTACCATGAGGTTAGCTGCTGTGCAATCCTATGATGAACCTTAGAAACTGTAAGCCAAAATACACCCTTTCTCCTTTAAATTGTTTCTCTCAGATATTTGATCATGGTAATGAAAAAGCTTACTAGCAGATATACACAATTCATTCTTTATAATAGTTGCCAACATCCCATGTCACAGATGATTATTTATTCACCCATTCAATACCAAATACATATTCCCTGTGGCTCTCTACTGCCACTATGAGCACTGTTTCAATTAGTTATATACATCTGTATATATACTACTTTGGCTTTATTGCTATTAAATAGATACTCCTAAATGCTATTACCTGTTTTTTATTTATTTATCTATGTGTATGAGTGTTTTTCCTGCATGTTTATAAGTGCATCACATGCGTGTAATGCTGTGGAGGCCAGAAAAGGATGCCAGATTTCCTGGAACTGGAGTTAGGGACAGTTTTTAGCTGCCACATGCATGCTGGGAACCAAACCTGGGTTCTCTGCAAGAGCAACCAGTGCTCTTAACTGCTAAGCCGTCTTTCCAGTCCCCAAATACAGATATCCTTTTCGTTTGTTTTGTTTATTTGAGACAGGGTCTTCCTGTAGCCCCAGCCGGCCTGGAACTCTCTATATAGACCAGGCTGGCTTACCTCTGCCTCCTGAGTGCTTGGATTAAAGGTATGTGCCACGGTGCCTGGCTCTGCTCTTACCTGTTTTACAAAAGGGTTGTAACAATTATTTTTCCACCATTCATAGTGTCTTTCTACTTATCCTGTCACCGAGTCATACTGTTCCTTACTTTTTTTAAATACTATTTTTATTTTTTGTGTATGAATATCATGCCTGTGTGTATGTAAATGCACCTCTGAGTGTGCAATGCCTACAGAGGTCAGAAGAGGGCATTGGATCCTTGGGACCTGGAGGTATGGATGATTGTTAGCTGCCATGTGGGTGCTGGGAATCAAACCCAGGTCCTCTACAAGAGCAGCTGGTGCCCTTAAACTCTGAGCCATCTTCCCAGCCCCCTGTTCCTTACTTTTGACAAACTGTTAGATAAGTAGAAATTGTTCTTTATAATTTGAAATTTCATAATAATGAGGAAGTATTTTCTGTTAGCTATTTTGATTTCTTCTTCTATGAATTGTCTGACCCTTATTCACTGGTCTTCCTAACAGTTCAGAGGTTGGCTTTTCATTTTGTTGATACCTATTATATGGAAGATAATTAAATTTTCCTCATTTTTTTAAAAAATTCAACTTTTAATTTTTTTTGCAATTTATAAATGTTAATTACTAGCATAGAGAAATGCAATTACACCTTTATATATTGAATTTTATATCCTGAAGAATGGTAAACTGACAATTTTTTTTAATTTTTTT